TATATAAGTCTAACTGCTATTGCTATTGCTATTGTTATCTGCAGTTCAGCGGTTCTAATCTCACCGGCTCAAGGTTGACTCAGCCTTCCATCCTTCCGAGGTGGGTGAAATGAGGACCCAGACTGTGGGGGCGATATGCTGACTCTGTAAACCGCTTAGAGAGGGCTGGAAGCCCTATGAAGCGGTATATAAGTCTAACTGCTATTGCTATTGCTATTGTTATCTGCAGTTCAGCGGTTCTAATCTCACCGGCTCAAGGTTGACTCAGCCTTCCATCCTTCCGAGGTGGGTGAAATGAGGACCCAGACTGTGGGGGCGATATGCTGACTCTGTAAACCGCTTAGAGAGGGCTGGAAGCCCTATGAAGCGGTATATGAGTCTAACTGCTATTGCTATTGCTATTGTTATCTGCAGTTCAGCGGTTCTAATCTCACCGGCTCAAGGTTGACTCAGCCTTCCATCCTTCCGAGGTGGGTGAAATGAGGACCCAGACTGTGGGGGCGATATGCTGACTCTGTAAACCGCTTAGAGAGGGCTGGAAGCCCTATGAAGCGGTATATAAGTCTAACTGCTATTGCTATTGCTATATCTTGTCTTGAACACATAGAAAGTGCCACCCACTGCTTGAATTCACTGGGGAAGTAAGCATAATGCATGTTCAGGATTGCGCAATCTCCCCTTGGACAGATTCATTCACATGGTGGCCTTGGGCTGGGCTGCAAATTAAGGGTTTAAAAGTATGTCTCAGCAGGTGGGAAGACCTGGCTAATCTTGTGTAGGCTTGGAAACTAAGTAGGGTTGACCTTGGGTAGGACTGAGACAGGAGATAGGCTAGCTTGGAAATTTGAAGGCCTTCTAGGAGAAGGCCAAGAGAACCCAACTATGTCCTGATTGCTCTTTGAAGCTACTAGGAACTCAACTGAATTCAGAAGTGATTTCATGTTGGAGGGACTCTGCTTTTAGATATCTTTCGTGAATTCGAATCATAGGGAGTTGGGAAATATTTTTTCCATCTCGTGTCGTGGTTTGGAGAAAGATCTCAAGTACAATCTTGGCATTTTGGGGGAAGACTGGGGAGAGCCATATCTGAAACTTTGAAGAGCAGACGAAGCTGAAGTCACTTAATCCAACCATTTGACTTGGCAGAGTTTTGTCTACTTTGTCGTCTCTGAACCCAAACCTCCTGCTCTCCTCCATTCTGGTACGGACCTTCATGGATGAACTGAACGAGGTGGCTATTTATCTGGGCCTGGGTGAACCGCTGGATTGGACTGTCAGGTGATGATTTCAACACCACCTTCCCATTGACTGGGGTCCTGATGGAATAGATGACTTCTTCTGGAGGGGTGTCTTCATCTTCACTTTGGAGGATCTCTGGGGTAATCTCGGCAATGCCCCCTTCTTCAATCTGGCAGGAAAGATGGAGAAAACACTAGAGTCAGTCACCAACACAGCTTTGCGTCTAAATATGATACGGATGAAATTAAAAAAAAAATGCTTCGGTTGAGGAGAACGCAGAAATCTCCACCTCTGACCCGGAAAACTCATTTAGAGTTTGTTTGTTTCAATTTGTTTTGGTTGCTGGCGTTAAGCAAGAATCGTGGCAGGAATAAATCCTGAGTTGCTACAAGTCCTTGAAAGCAAAACAATTTTTTTTTAAAAAAAAAGAATCCCAGAAAAATTCTGGCCCCTGAATGATCCTGTTGAGCATCTGTTCAACAATGAGATCATACAGAATGAGGACATTGCCTTCGGTCACTTTGGATTTAGCCTCTCTTAATAACATCTTCCCCCTCAGTTTTTTTTCCTCCACAGCGGCCTATTTCTCAAAATAAAACTGAACAACAATAACAACCCCCCACTCCATGTGGAAATTGTCCTTTCTCTGACATAAGGTCCAGCTCCATCTTTTGTGCTGACCCAATGGACATGTTCTTCAGGAGATGGCCTTTGACACCACTTATCCTCATCTGCTGGAGAAGGAGAAAACAGAACTCCATCTTTCCTGGAAATGGTTCTCTGGAATTTTGCAGATTTGGTATTTTTAAAATTCTTTGGGGGATTAATTTTGGAATCCGTTTAGAGCAGAACTGAACTGAGGGGACTTGGCGATCATAAACGTCTAGGGACTCTGCTGGCAGCCTTCACTTGCAAGCATTATTCTTTGTTTGGATTAACCCAAAACTCCTTGCTAAGTCATCACAACACCAGGCAGTTCAGTTCTTTTATTGATCCCAGAAGGAAGGATGAGAACTAGAGGATTAAAACTAGAAGGGAAGAAATTGCTAACGGTAGGATTGAACTGGCTGCAAAACACGAATTCCGCTTCACGAGAGGGATCTTGGATGGTCCTCTGTCAGAGATAAACTAGAGCAGGGTTTCCCAACTTTTAAGATTGGACCTCTTAATAAACAACAATTCCCAGAATCCCTTTATCAAGAGAGCAAAGCTCCAGGGATCCAAAACTTCCTGCCTTTGAGTGAATGTTTTCCTTTTTCCTCTTGTATATTAAAAAAAAGAAGAAAATCATCTTGGCCACAACTTCTCTTGCAAGTTGGGAATTGTTGCATAGATTTCTACTGCCATCTTGCGACCAACTTCTTACACTGCCAGGCAAACGATGGCAAAAGGAATGACATGGTTTTTGGGCACTCCCTTCCAGGGGATGTTGGCTCACTCAACAACTGCTTTGATTAGTGGCGGATGTTCTGTCCCCAACTGCGGTTGTACATTGAGGACTACCTGTAAGGAGGACCTTACAAGGCTGAAATAAATTCAGTCTCGGCAAAATGATCCCTGTGTTGGGTCAGAAAGAGCTGGAGGTAACTCAACAAGTGAAAAACAGCCACAATAAATATATATTTTAGGCTACGCCTGTTGGTTAAGCCAAGAGTGTCTCATGGGTGTGTCTGTGACCGTCTGAAGCTTCTACTTGATAGATATAATTAGAATAACAGTTCTGAGGACAAACCCATTGAGATGACTTCAACATTCCACCCACCACTCGTGAAGTAAATACCTGCAATTCTCTGTTGACCATTAGCACCGGTGCCTCATCGTTGACTGGAGAGATGCTAATGGAGATGGTCTTGGGTTGGCTCTGTTGATTGACTTCAGAAACGTTGGCAATGACTGTGAATCTGTCCGTCAAGGACTCACTTCCATCATGTGCATACTTGATGAGCTGATTCTCTACCTAAACGCAAGGAGGACATTATGATAAGATTCCTGGCTCACATTCTGCCCCTTTCCATATTTATTCCAAAAGCGCTATGGAGAAATTAAATTTCAATTAAACTGGGGTGGCCAGTTATTATTTCTAAGCCAGCAGAGATATCTCCAGAGGCTTGAAATGAATGAAGAACATACGTTTATTTATTTCAATTTTTTTTTAAAAAAATAATAACTTGGAAGAGGTTGTGTTGCTTCCTACCTCATACCAAGAGAAAACATTTAAGCTGCCCTCTTCAGGTTTTTCTATATTCCAGAAGGTGCCATGCTCTGGTATCTCAACAACCACGAATTNTTATTTCTAATTCCAGATTTCAGCTATGGCTTTTCCTTAGATTCTCTAGATCTGCTAGAGAAATCAATTTCTATCTCTGAAACCGGCGAGAGAAGCTTTTTGGGCTTCATACTGGGAGAAACAACTTTTGTACTTCTAACTAACTTCTACAAACAACTTTTCAAAAACTTTCCATGTGGGAAATTCCTGTCAGGAGCCGGAGCAAGTGATTCAGGATGACACAAATGTAATCTAGAACTGGCTTGTTGGAACAAGACCCTCAAGGGCGCTTATTCTCTTGTGGGATCAAGTGACATTTAAACACCGAAAACATTAGTTGCTCAAAAAGAAAGGAAAAAAAACACATTTATCCTGACTGTCTTTGGGCAACTTTTAAGCCATCTGCATGTTTTAACTCTCTTTTAGGGATCCCCCTGTTAATTCCTAAGATTCAGGCTGTGGATCAAGAAGATGGAAAATTCTGCATAAAACCCATTTCGCTTCCATGATCTTCCAAAAGCTGGAATTTTGCACAAGGGTAAAGGGTGTTTTTAGCTGTGCTTGCTCCCCTTTTTTTATTTTGCATCTTTTACTTTGCAATGGTTCCACTTTCCCATATGTTCACGATGGCCTTTGCTAGTCAACGAATCTTGCCCCAAACTTCTCCCACCTTCTTCTGGATATCATGGCTGGTTTCCTTTTGGGTTCTCAGATTTCAACTGCAGACCCCTGTTGCATCCATAAGGACATAAGAATAGATCTTTAAAAAAGTTTTAGTTCTCCTAAAGAGTTTCAGTAGTTTATGATACCCTCCAAAACAGGGATAGGCAGCTATGGAACTTTTACAGCCTGTGGACTTCAATTCCCAGAATTCCTGAGCCAGCCATGTCTGATTCAAGACTTCAACTCCCAGAATTCTTCAGCCAGCCATGGCTGATTCAAGACTTCAACTCCCAGAATTCCTGAGCCAATCATGGCTGATTCAAGAGTTCAACTCCCAGAATTCTTCAGCCAGCCATGGCTGATTCAGGACTTCAACTCTCAGAATTCTTCAGCCAGCCACGGCTGATTCAGGACTTCAATTCCCAGAATTCCTGAGACAATCATGGCTGATTCAAGACTTCAATTCCCAGAATTCCTGAGCCAGCCATGGCTGATTCAGGAATTCTCAAGAGTCGAAGTCCACAAGTCGTAAAGGGAGTCATAGCTGCCCGCCCTTATTCCAAAGGCATCATTCCTACTGAATAAATATCTTTGAAGACACCAAAGCATCATACTCTTAAGAGATTTTGATTTCTTCTACATATCTGCAGGCAGAAGAGAAAGGATGGCAGGATGAGGTGAAGGAAAACTTCAAAAAAATGTTGGCAGTCTGCAGGGAGACTGATGGGCTATTTAGTCTTTGGTTCCAGTACTTAAACCCAATATTGGCTGTTTTTCAAAGCTGGGTTAGATGTCCTACAGTACTGGAGCAATTCTGGATCCTGTGGTCTTCCTGGCCCGGGTCCTTTTGAGTTGGATCCTGGTTCTTTGGCCTCCAAGGTATTGATGGTGGTCAGAGGTATGCTTTGAGTAGGGTCAGTCTTACGGAAAGTTTCTTGGTCCACCACTGTTCCATTCTTGTATTTGGGCAGTGTCCCCTGGACATTGTGCTTGCCAGTCTTGTTCCGTTTGTGGAGATAGAAGAGCAGAGGTAGGATCAAAGCCAGAAGCAGAAGAATGAGACAAATGGGGAGGATGATACTGAACATGTTGGCTTCAATGAAACCCAAGAGAGAACCCTTTTCTGTTTGAGATGTTGATCCTTGGCCTGATCCTGTTGTTGGGAGGACGTGGGACTTGTTGGAGTTAGAGGGGGCCATTGTGGATTCATAAGGCATGGTTGTGAAAGTATAGAAGGGGGAGGTTATGCTCCGTGGGGTAGAGCTATGGCTTCCTTCCTGGGGACCAGGCATATGGACCAAGGTGGCCCTATAGGGGGTTGAGGAGTTGAAGGTCTCCGTGGTGTACACCACCCACCCCGAGGCAGGGGGCACACCTTTCGCAGTCAATTCAAATTGAAAGCGGTCCTCTTGGAGATTCGGCCCTGAATCTTCTGCCTCCCAGATTTCTAACCCAATCAATTCGTCCTTGAGGTCATCTTGGGTGAAAGCATCGATGGAGGCAGGCCGATCCATGTTGTCTCTGGAGACTCTCACCAACTTGCTCCCTTGAGGGGCTTGGAGAATTCTGAACTCGGGGGTGCTGTTTGTCCTGTCGGCCAGCTCGTGGGCATCAAGGATGTTGGTATTAAGCAGGACAGTGGTTCCTCTCGGCCAGAGAATCTCTTGCCCGATTTTCACTAAGGCCTTGACTGTTACATTTACAACCCCCGAAATATTGGTGGCTCCTGAGGTGGCAAGGAATTGAAATCCATCTTTGGAGGAGGCCAAATCTGTGAAAGTAAAGAAAACTTCTCCCTTGTCCACCTGTTGTTGTGAAAAACGTTTCACGGCCTTTTGATGGACTTCCACTTGGCCATACTCTGGGCCCCTGATGAGTTCGTAGAAGGTATTTCGCTCTCCTTGGCCTGAAGACCCTAGAAGATGTTTGTGAGACAGTGAAGCCATGTTCAAGCCTTGGGGTATTTCCAAGATGGTCTGATTGGTTGCCCACGTGGTTGCGGGAAGAACCATGATTTCCAGAGAAATAGAAATTGGCTTGTGGAGTCCATCTGATGCAACAAGCTTCAAAGTCCCAGTAGAACTTGTTCCATTGGCAACAAATATCAGGTGTCCTGCATTGATGTCTGCTTGTGTGAACTGGGTTACGACTACGGATGGATTATGGGCCTTAGCTACAAATCCAGTTGGAGATCCAGAACTAACGTTGAATTGGATTTCTTTGGGGAAACTGTCTGGATCTATGACATTCAAATGTTCTTGGGAGACCACCATGGAGGAACCTTGGAGAACTTGTAAGACTTTTCCTTGGCTGACTAGTTTTGGTGGCATCTCATTACCGTCTCTCACTGTGATGTTGAACAACCCAGAAATAATGACTTCCTTTCCATTCTGTGGGGGCTCAATAGATCTGTTTGTGTTGGGCCGTAGCCAAGCATCAAATCTGAAATAATCATCCAGGAATCCAGGACCGTTGTGAGAATATTCCAATCCACCTGCGGCAAGGTCAGATTGCAGAAAATAGGGGTGCTTGTCATTCACTCGACCATCTGGAAGAGAAAGGGTCCCATACATGGGCAATCTGGTCACCAGAAAGACGACGTCATAGGAAGTCCTCGTTGGTTCCGGTTCTTTGGTGAGAAGGTTGGAAGCATCAAGTGACGAGAGGTTGATGGCTGCACTTTGAGCTTCTGGGACGGTGAGGCCTGAAAGAGAGAAGAAGAGAAGAAGCAAGGGATGGTCATCTTGTTTCAAACAAGGAAGGCAACGTAGAAGCTGCTATGGAAGAAGGAGAGGATGGACAAGGGGAGGAGAAATAGGAAAAGGGAAGAGAATGAAGAAAGGCAGATTAAGCGTGACCCGTCAAAACCGCGGTAGACTAAAGCGCGCCNCCTTCTTTCTTCCCTCCCTTCCCTTCTCTTGTCTCTCCTCTCTTCTCTTTTCTCTCTTTCTTCCTCCCTCCCTTCCCTTCCTTCCTTCCCTTCCCGTCTCTTGTCTCTCCTCTCTTCTCCCTTCCTTTCTTCCCTCCCTTCCCTTCTCTTGTCTCTCCTCTCTCCTTCCTTCCTTCCTTCCTTCCTTCCTCCCTCCCTCCCTCCCTCCCCTTCTCTCAACTCATTGAATGAAAAAGCAAGCAAAGTGTGCTCATTCCCATGGAGCTGCAATCGTCCAAGAGGCCCCACGTTCTTGAGTCAGGCCATCCCAGCAGCATCTTTCTCCTCCACCCCCAAACCACCACACTGGAATCCAACCTGGGGTCCCTCCCGGGTCTTTCTGTGTGGAGAAGGGATGTCCTCCAAGAAGACCCACCTTCTTGAAGGCTTCTAGCTCCCCTTGCCAGTTGCCCTAGGGAAAAAAAGGAGGACAGCAAGAACAGGGCCCATTTCAGAGCAGTTGCCCAAAGGTTTCTTCCCAATTTTTGCTTTGGGGAAGAAAGGGTGCCTCCCATATAGGCAGACAAAGGAGCATCCTGAAATTGTGGAGCTCAATTGTTTTCTTTTAGGAAAGCCAAGCTGGAATTCTCAAAGGGAAACGGGATGGAGAAAAAGGAGAGGAATAACCGCATTCCTGAGCACATCTGGCTTGACTGAGTCCATGATTCTGTGACTTGTATGCTTATTTGTATGATTCTTACAGGACGAGAAAAGTTAAAGCGGGAGGAGCAGAAATAGGTTGGAAGAAACCCAACAAATCATTCTTGGTTTTTATAGGTCCTGTGAAATGGGGGGGCTTTGCATTCCCAGGAAAGAGGGGTGGGGGATCAAGTATTGGACCCCCAGCCAGGCTGTCCTTTTAAGGGGTTCCAGTCCCACCCACACACCTTATTCCATGCATGATTGGAAGCAGAGTTTGGGATCGAAGGAGGACCTTGGAAGGTAGAAAAAACTTTGGGTACTCCAAGCCAGCTGTGCGTGGGGCCAATTTTTTTCTGAAAGGCAGGCCCAGATGGATGGAAGAGGGACCCAGACTTCCCATTTTTTTTTCAGTGGTGGTGCGTGACACTGGAGAGCAGAGAACGAGAAGAAGTGGGCTAATGCAGACAAACCATCTTGCATTTCTCTCTCCAAGATCTGCCCCATCCGTCAGGTGAGTTTTAGAAATGGGTCAACCGTTGAGCAAGGAGATTGGGAAAACTCCCCACTCAACCTCTTCTCCAAGGATCTGCAGCCTTCTTGGCTTCTGACCCTTCCAGTCTAAGCAGGACCACCTTGAAGGATCTCTTCCCAGAATCTTATTCATGAGTGATATTCCTAGGGATGATCGCTCATCAGCGATGGTTGAAAGATTTCTCCTGGATCTGGAGACCTTCAGAGATTCATCTATGTGGTTGTTTTGGCCACAAATCTGGGTGGAGAATTCTGAAAGACCATTTGTGGGCAAGCTGAAATCTAGAGACCGGAAAGGGTGGTGGTACCCACCTTCGGGGAAGACAGAAGAGGCTCTGAGACCCTCCTTTAAATTACATTTTTCCAGATCTCTGGTTCCGCTTCAGTACAAACACATCTTCTTTAGAGGAACGCATTCCCCTCCCACTTTCTACACATGCAAAAAGACTCAATTATATATAAACCCACCAGGGACCACTCTGAGGCTCCCACAGCTGCAACGTTTAAAAAAAGGGGGCTTTTCATTCCCTGCTTTTAGCTTCCATTTACTCTGCCGCAGAAAAGTCTGGACTTAAGAAAGGAGAAGCTTGTTTAAAATGTATAATATTAAGGGGTTTTAAATGGCAACCCCCGACTAGTATAAACAGCCTTGATTGGGCCTGTCTTCCAAAACGCAAGTTAACCATGAACGTTTGCAGGCATCCACAGAGTTTTTCAAACCTCTGGAAGAGAAAGTGTGGATCAAAAATCTCCATCCATTTCTCCTTTGTTATCTTTTTCTTCATTTTGCAAAGATGTATGGATATCAATAGAGGTGATAGAGAGCTATCAGATAGCTAGTTAGCTAGATGATAGATAGATAGATAGATAGATAGATAGATAGATAGATAGATAGATAGATAGATAGATAGATAGANAATAATAATAATAATAATAATAAAAAGAAAACCTCAAGCGATGGCATCTCCACAATGGCAGGAGGCAAATGATGACAGCCTGAGCAAAGGCCATCTAGCCCCCTCCCCAATTAATTACTCCCTGTCCACTAATGCCCAGCTAGTTTCTCTGAAGAAGAGAACAGCTTTATGTTTGCCTTTTCTGCAAGATTCCCAACAGATTCGGAGAACAGATTCGCAGGGGAGACGGTTGCAAAGGCAGCCATTCATTTCAAGTGTGGGTGTGCTAACGGCACAGCTTCTTGGTCAGATTCCAGGCAGAAGGAGAACAAATGACCAATTTCCTAAAAAAAAACCAAAAAACCCTGTTCTTTCTATTTAAGGATCGTAGAAGAAATTAATTCTATTTACATCGGATGCTGCAGCTTTACTCAAACATACATTTTAGTGCCAATATTGTGACATGAAACGCAATTAGCTTTTGGAAGCTGCACTTTTTTTCAATTGTGTATTCTAATTGCCCGACATTAAAGAATGTGCAGGTTTTGCATGACTGGGGAATTCTGGGAGTTGAAGTCTATTTATCTTAAAGCTGCCAAGATTGAGGAAAGACTGGCCTAGAGTCTATCCACCTTTAGCCCGTTCAAACAGTTCAAAGCTTGTTTGCAAGACAAAACAAACTTCCTCTTCTTCCCCTCTCCTTTCTGCAAATTCCACTCCCTTCTAGAACTGATTATGTTCTGTAGATTATGTTCTGTAGCCTGCAAGAAAGCAACCATGCCTTTCTCTTTCCCCCTTTCCCCTTCCCTTTCTTCTTCCTTCTTCCTCTTCCCCTTCCCTCTCTTCTCCTCCAGTGGTGGGATTCAATTTTTTTTACTACCAGTACTGTGGGTGTGGCTTGATGGGCGTGGCATGGCTTGGTGGGTGTGGCAGGGGAAGGTTACTTCAAAATCCCCATTCCCTCCCGATTAGCTGGGACTCAGGAGGCAGATAATAGATGGGGGCGCGGCCAGCCAGAGGTGGTATTTGCTGGTTCTCCGAACTACTCAAAATTTCTGCTACCGGTTCTCCAGAACTGGTCAGAACCTGCTGAATCAATTTAATAAATCGATTTAATAAAATCCCACCTCTCTTCTCCTCCTCCCTTCTGATCAAGATGTCCTCAGAATTCCATGTTGTTCTCTTTGCTCCCATTGCCTTGTGCAATCTTTTAATCTAGAAAGCAGGGAGACTTTTAAGATCCGGTGGAACCTTGTCCTCATTTTCGAATCCTCTAAGGGCTATGAATGCCACCAGGCCATGGGACTTCTTGCCCAGCCTGAAGATTGACACTTGGGCTCAGCGTCCGGAGTGCCAAACACATCTAGCCTTTTGGAAAAACGGAGGGATTAGCTTCCTTTTTCATCTGTAGAGGATGCTGAAGGTCAGCCTCCCGTTATAAACCTCCTGCTTCCCTTTGGTGAAAAGCCAGCTGCTACCCTATTAGACTCAAAAGAAATTGCATCTCCCAAAGAAACAGAACCCATCTAAAGCAAGGAACACATCGCTTTTTCTTAGCGTTACATCTTTAAAAAAACAACAACAATTGGAACCCTGCGTTTTAAAAATTCAGCAACACCATGCCTATCATTTTGCATTAAATTGGAAGAGAATTGTCTCCCAGCATGTTAACAGGAAAATTATACTTAGTGTTACATGTTGGTTTTCTATGTTTAATAATTTCCAGGAGTTTCTGAAAACAATTCTATTGGCCCTCCAGTAATTATTTCTGTAGAGTACTTTGACATTTCGGTCTCATTCCAGGTTTTAATTAAGGCATATCTTCGTTTCCGACAATCGGATCTTTCATTTTAGGAAAATAGAATACCACTTTTATCGTTTGCCTGTCCTCTTCACAATCCCAGGAACAAGTAGAATTTGAGAAGAGCGTTACATTTAAAAAGCCATTTTAAAAATGTATAAGAGACAGTGAAAGCAAGTGATTTCTCCTTTAATAAATGCTCATTGTCTGCATTCCCCCGCTCTGGCATAAAGCTGACAAGCTCATTTATTGATTTCCAGCATGTACTAGAGGAAGCACTACAAACGCTATGAAATGGATGCGGGGAAATTTGAAACCATTATATCTATTTGTACTGACTTCATATCAGATCGAATGCAAACTGCGTATATCAAACGCCCGATAAAAATTATAACTCACTAGAAACCCAGCCAAGAGCTGTTCGTTTGCAGCTCGCGTTTTTTCCAAGTTGGCCGGCAAGCCAAGAAGATCCGTTTTTCTCATTCATCTTCATGATGGATACCATAATAGTAATCACTGTAACCCTGATCATAGGTCAGACTGAGTTGGAACCTTGCCAGCATGTCTCCACAGTCCTTCTTCATATCAACCCTTTTCAAACATTGCTTAACAAGTATCTATGGAGATTCATATTCATCTAGGTCATGGTTGTCTCAAAGGCGTTTTTTTTTCCCCCAAAAAGAAACTGGACTTCCTTGGTTTTGGCTAGAAGGCGTTGAAGACTTGAAGATGTAGTTGCTTCAGAAGTTTCTTGGATGAGAAGAGAACCGTCTTCAAGCAGAAATGAAGAAAGCCCAGTTGACTTTTGAAAAAGCACCTTTGTGACACTGCTTGACAAGTGGAAGCAAAACAATTCGCAATTTTGCAATTTAATGGGTTTCTATGCCGCCCAACCCCGGGGGGACTCCGGGCGGCTTACAAATACGAAATGAAAATAAAATACACACAGGGGGAGAATACAAACAATACGAACAATTTAAAAAAAAAACCACAACGTACATTCGGTTTAATTGGGGGTTGAACCTGATTTGGAGATCAGCAACCCCAGGCCTGTCAGAACAGCCAGGTCTTAATGGCTTTTTGGAAGGCCACGAGGGTGGGAAGGGTCCGGATCTCTGCTGGTAGCTCATTCCACAGAGCCAGAGCAGCTACAGAAAAGGCTCTCCCCCGAGTGGTCACCAGCCGGCATTGTCCGGTCGACGGCAACCGGAGGAGGCCTAGCCTGTGGGTTCTTATCGGACGTTGGGAGGAGTGTAGCAGGAGACGGTCTCTCAGATATCCAGGTCCAATGCCATGTAGGGCTTTAAAGGTAATCACCAGCACTTTGTAGCGCGTCCGGAGACCAATGGGGAGCCAGTGCAGCTCGCGGAGGATAGGTGTAACATGAGTGTACCGAAGTACACCCGATATCGCAGAGTAGGATATGTTCTAGTGGTTTTTTTTCTTCTTCTATGTTCTTTCTGGATGGGTTTCTATCAACATTGAACTAGATAAAGGGAATTTATTTATACAACAGGTGGAATTACCTAACCAAACTGGTTG